AAGCTATAGGTTAAAAGTCAGAATATACAAAAATACCAGAGATCAGTAACAAAATATGACTAATTTAATACGGTAGCCTAAATAACGCCCCCTCCCGATGCCACCTTGGAACGTATAGTCTTTGCAGCAAGGGCAAATAATGAAACTTTATAAGAGACATATGGAGTTATCTAAGGGGGGAATTGAGCGGTGGCTCAAGTGGTGAAGACGCTGAACTGCAGGCTGTGGAAGGTCAGTAGTTCAGTTCGAGACCCGAGTGTGCCGCATGATGGAGTGAGCTCCCGTCTCTGGTTCCAGCTCCTGCCAACCTAGCAGTTTGAAAGCAAGAAATTGCAAGGAGATGCAGAGGGCAGGAAACCTTTTGCTCCCGCGTTAGACTGTGTGACCGATTGGAGGGAGGGCTCCGTGTGCATTTATTTGTGGGCGCAGAGTGAGCCTTGCCAGCTGTACCCTTTCCGATGGGTTATCTCTTTTAGCAGGCAGGCAAGCAAGAGCGCTGGGCTCTGAAGGCCTCGCTTAATCTGGCCAGTGGCCATCGCTTCGGGGGGCGGTTCAGTTCCCCTGTGGCCAGCTCTGTCCTTTTGATGGAATAAACTGCATTCTGCATTCTGCCCCAGGCCAAAGGGAATTCTGTCAATGTGTTAATAACTCGGTGGATTTTAAGGCCGTGTCGAAGGCCATAAGCCTCCCTGTTTGGTTTTCACTCCGTTTTTTTTCATCTGCTAGTGTTGGGCAGGTTGTCTGATTAAGAATTGGGGCTGGAAGGGAGACAAGGGGGATCTCCAAGCGCTGCCCTGAGAGATAAGCCAGAAGAGACCCAAATCACAGTGCGCCACATTTTAGGAAAGATGTTGACAAGTATAAAGTACTGGGTTCACCCACATGGAAGACTCGGACCACGACGTGCGTCGATACGCGTTTATTGTACTTCACACAGGAACTGCCAAACAACCCTGCAAGGCCAACTATATACATACCCACCCACCCAGCGCACCCACAGTCCCATTGGAGGGTTTGAATTACCCACCAAAGTTGCTATTGGTGAATGCTGGGGGAACTAGGATCCTAGGCTTCTATTGTGTCGAGGAGCTAAGCTCCCTACTGTATCCACGGACCGCTGGTGGCAGTCCGCGTGCATAACAACAAGCTGGATCGTGTCCAGAAGAGGGCAACCAGAATGGCGAGAGGGTTGGAATCCAAGTCTTATGAGGAAAGGCTGAAGGAGTTGGGTCTGTTTAGCCTGGGAAAGAGAAGGCTCAGAGGGGACCTGATTGCAGTCTTCAAGTATTTGAAGGGCCGTCATGTAGAAGACGGAGCAGATCTATTCTCTCTTGCTCCGGATTGCAAGACTAGATGTAATGGGTGGAAATTACAAGGGAGTTGATATCGGCTAACTATCAGGAGAAACTTCCTAACTGTAAGAGTGGTTGAGTAGTGGAGCAGACCGCCTCGGGAGGTGGTGGACGCTCCTTCGCTGGACGTTTTGAAGCGGAGGCTGGACGACCATCTCTCGGGTATGTCGTAGGGCCATCTTTCGGCTCTGCTCCTGCAGAGTGCCGGGGGTTGGACTCGATGACCCGCAAGGCCCCTTCCAACTCTTAACATTCTAAGATTCTAGGATTCTAATGTAGTCCAGTATCTCTGACTTTCCTGTCGCTGCCGGGAGCAACCACTTTGCCCCGGCCTCCAGACTTCTTGGATAACGTTATAACACGGGCTCCAAAGTCCCCGAAGCATTTCCGCCGTGAAAGTATTTCAGGTTGTTCCCACTCGGTTGGGGTCAGGCAGCCGAGCCATCTCCCAATCCAGGCTGTTCTGAATCAAAAGGGAGCTTGACGCTGCCTCCTCCTCTGGACGGGGTTGAGCCGGTTGAGCGCCTGTCCCAGCTGCTTTCTGTGGCATGTGGGGGCCCAGGTGACTTTGGGAGGAGGGGGGGGCCTTTCTCCGTCACTGTCCCGGTGCCTGCCTTCCTGAGAGGCCTTCAGCCGCCTTTCACTTCCAGCTGTTGCTGCTTTTCCAGATCGTTTCTTGCCTTGGGTGCTGCCGAGCTCTCTTTCTGGAGGGCCCCTTCATTCAGCATTCCTCAACCTGTGGGTTGCCACTCAGTAGTGGGGTGCAAAACTTGTGATAGTGGGTCTGCTGCTTTTGCAGTTTGATTGATCCGGGCGTGCTCTGTCTTTTCTTAAATGATATCAAGTAAATTTGGACTCGTGGGCCACCGTACCTGAAAGGTAGGGAGCCACAGTCTTTACTAGTACCCGTGCCTGTTGAAAGATCCAAGGCAGGCAACAAGGCCAAACTGGAACTCCTTGCAAGACCTTGGTTCCTCTGTAAGTGGCCGAAGCCCTCTGAGGGTGGGATCCAGACTCCTTTCCAGGGGCAGAAGGGAACTTTCCTTTCCCTCCCTCTCCCACAGCAGCCCACTGATCTCCCCGACACGCTGCTCCTGGGGTGTCGGGGGCCCTGAGAATGACATTGGGGGGGGGGTCCTGCAGCAGGAAGGGGGAATTGGTGGAATTGCCAGTTGAGTCAGGATCCAACAGCCAGGCGTTCACTGGGGAGGTCTGTCCAGATTTATTCAGTTTGGCGTATTGGTTAAGAGCGGCGGACTCTAATCTGGGAGAACCGGGTTTGATTCCCCACTCCTCCACGTGCAGCCAGCTGGGTGACCTTGGGTCAGTTACAAGTTCTCTCAGAGCTATTCTCTCAAGGGCAGTTCTCAAAAGAGCTCTCCCAGCCCCACCTACCTCACAGGGTGTCTGTTGTGGGGAGGGGAAGGGAAAGGAGATGGTAAGCCGCTCTGAGACTCCTTCGGGTAGTGAAGAGCGGGGTATAAATCCAGTTTGGTGTTGTGGTGAAGTGCGCGGACTCTCATCTGGGAGAACCAGGTTTGATTCCCCACTCCTCCACTTGCAGCTGCTGGATGACCTTGGGCAAGCCGTAGCTTTGTCAGAGCAGTTCTCTCAAGGGCAGTTCTCAAAAGAGCTCTGTGACAACCTCTTATTTGGGGAGGTTTAGTTTTACTTTAAAATGTTCTTTCAGTTTTACTCTGTAGGGTATTCTGGCTGCCACCAGGGAAATCTAGGTTTTCCCAAACCTTTTCCTATAATATTTTCCACGGGGTAGGTGTACCATGGGTGTTAGGCATTCATGAAGGTCTATGTGGTCTGAGGAAGGATTATTTGCTGAGCTGGTATACTTGAAGGAATTAGGATTTATTTAAAGAAAACATAAATACGAGGGTAAACAATGTAAACAGTACTGGGAAGGAGTTGAACAAATGCTTGGTGTCTCTCACAAGCTTCTCCTTTACTGACAGGGAGGTTAAAGCAACTTTGTATCAGTTTTCACTGTACTTTTTCTTAGACTCTCAGCCTTCAATTGTAACTCTTATAACACAGAACTTAACCGTCTGCTTAACACAGAGACTTCACTCTTATATTTCACACTGGAAAACTTCTCACACAGAGACCTCAGGACAAAACTCATATCAACTGCTTTTACACAGCACACTCTGCTCTGAGTGTTTTACTCAACTGTTTAACTGACAACTCTTAACAGACACTCCTGAAAGACATTCCAATCATCCACACAGCATCCATTCCAAAACCCCTCCCCCTCTCTGTCACTCACCAATCATATCACTTGCCTGAGTCCAGCATCCTAGTCTGTCATACATCCATACAAACCAAACTTTAAAGTCACACACACACAAAACATGACATCGTTACAAGCTCTCTCAGCCCCACCTACCTCACAGGGTATCTGTTGTGGGGAGGGGAAGGGAAAGGAGATTGTAAGCTGCTCTGAGACTCCGAGTGAAGGGCGGGGTATAAATCCAGTACCCTCCTCCTCCTCCTTTTCTTCTTCCTCTTCTTCTTCTTCTCCTTCTCCTCCTCTTGAAAATGACAAGCCACAAGCTCATGTGGGTTCAGTTTCAACATGTGGCCGCCTGATGCATTTAAGAGTGCCCCGAATGGGTGAATGCCTTCAGTTGGTTTCGTGTTTGGCAGGGCTGGGGGGAATGGGGGCCACAACTGAAGCCTGTGCATTGCGTTCTGCAGGAGAGGGGGTTTTTTGGGAGCTTCTCTGGGAGATCCCCTTGTATGTATGTTGTTATTGTTGTTCAGTCGCACAGCCGAGTCTGACTCTTCGCGAGCCCACGGATCACATCACGCCAGGCCCTCCTGTCTTCCGTCGTGCTCCAGAGTTTGCTTAACTTCACGTTCGTTGCATCGGTAACACTGTCTAAATAATCAATCTGATTTCGGTGTTGCCCATCTGGTGATGTCCATGGTGTAGAGTCGCCTCTTAGGTTGCCGGAAGAAGGGTGTTCGCGATGACCAGCGTGTTCTCTTGACAAAACTCTTGTTCTCCAAGGCCAAACTTTGTCCGTCATTCCGGTTACCTTTTGACTTCCTGCTTTAGCATTCCAGTCCCCTATGATGAGGAGGACATCTTTTTTTTGGTGTTAGTTCTAGGAGGTGTTGTAGGTCTCCCCTGTATACCCCACCTCTAAACTCTGAGCCCACGTCAGTTGTCACGTTCGACAGTTCTCCGTGTCTGCTCTTCTCTGGCTCATTGATACACCTGTGCAAGTGTCACACCTGCCGTGCCGCTTTCTCACCGCTTCCTCCGTAGAGAGCAGCTTGGCCAGGGCAGAGGAGCGAACGATGGAGATGAAGGCAGTGGAGGGACAAGGCTGGGATTCATTCTTGGCATCGGGGCAGGGCCGTTCTTGCATGTCAGGAGCTAAGAGGGGTGGCCGCTGGGTGCAGCACACAGCCGGCTCTTTCGGCACTGAGCTTGGCTGCAGGAGATTTCTCTTTTTGGCCGCGAGGGGCACATCAAAGCCCTCCTGCGGGGGAAGACTCTTGAGCTCCCCCTAACTGCAGGAATTGGCACTCCTGCTGCTGCACCCTCCTTCTTCGCCTGTTGTACAAGATGTGTTCACAGGGCTATTCTGAAGGCTCTCACACCCCCTTTTTTGCTTTGGTCAGCGAAAGCAGAAGAGCCGAAGGCAGCATCCGAGGTGGTGACGGCCAACGACATCGCGGCCCCTCCGAACAAGGAGCTTCCGCCAAGCCCCGAGAAGAAAGCCAAGGTAGGGGTCCTCGCAGTCATCTGTTTGTGTGTGTGTGTGTGACCGTGGCAGCATCTGACAGGGTTTGGTGCTGGCTCTCCTCACCCCATTCCACCTCCCTTTAACTGCTTGGGCCGGTTCCGTTCTCTGCGTGGACTCCCAGTTGTCTCCTTAACACAAATTCACTCCTGTGTGTCACGAGGCTGTGGACCGGGGTTTTCACACACCCCAACTTCCTCTCCTCCAGACTGAACATTCCCACATCCCTCAGCCTTTCCTCGCAGGGCTTCTTGGTCTCCAGGCCCCCTGCCGCGGCTCAGGTGGGGCGTCACCTGATGCTGCCACCACTCTGGTTATGGATCCCTTGAGAAGGCCCAGGGGACCCTCCCAAGACCTTCAGACCGCCCTCGTTTTGCCAGATAATAGGCGTGAGGACCAGGCAGAGTGAACAACAAGGAAAAGGTTTATTTTTATAGGAGGTCGGCCCGATATGGGAAAACAGACAAGGTGCAAGAACAATATCAGTAAGGGGGAGAAAAGAAAAGAAAAGAGACCAAATGCCCTAACGTGTCTAAACTTGCTGTCCCTAGCTCACTGTCTCAAGTGGGCCTGAGTCTGCTCACCCTTCCTCTCGGGATGAGGGTCTCTCCCCTGCAGGAGCCCTCCTTCTGGCCCTGCCCTCTTGGAAGAAAAGAACAGCTCTCCTTCTGTACCAGCTCTTTTGTTCCGAGTCCCCTTTCTCTGTGATTGGCTAAAATTGGCGCCAAAGCCTCTCGGGGACTTCTGGGAGTTGTAGGCCAGGCCTCCTCCTCCCACGGCCACTCAGGCTCCCTGGGCCTACTAGGCCTCTCGTTGCACAGCCCAGATCATGACACCCCCGATCATCCTTGCCGCTCCCGTTGCTGTTCTCCAGGTGACCATCCCAGGGGGGGCCCTTCCTGCCACGTCCGTCCTCGCCTTGTGCTCAGAGAACCGAACACTGGCTTTCTTGTTGGTTTTTTCCCCTCATGAATGGGCTTGTCCCCCCCCCCCCCACTACATATTTTGCTGCCGCTTAACGTTTTGTTCACAATGGGCTTCTTTCTTTTCTTTTCTTTTTGTGTTACGTTATGTGTTGTCCGTTTTCTGCTTCTCTTTGTGCGTTTTAACATAAAGCCATCAGCCTCTACTCCGGCCAAGCCCGCTGCGGCGAAAACGAAGCCCGTGTCGGCTGCCGCTGCCCCCGCTAAGCGGCCGGCTGCCGCCACACCTTCTGCCCAAAACAAAAAAGCCACCAGCCCAACGGCGGGTCCGGCTGCGGCCGCCACCCCCAAACGGCCTGCGAGCAGCACCGCGCGGCCCTCCACCTTAACTCCGAAAGACGCCAAGCCAAAGGTAAGGAATGTCATACTGTGGCAAGAAGTGCCGAGGGGCGTTTTCAGAGCCCGGGAGCCTTCCTCGGCAATTGCCGTCTCCTCTCGCGGCCCTCCTGTGCCCCCCCCCCCCCCCGCGGATGCCTGGACCTTCCGTTGCCCATCACATCAGTTCACCGGGCCCCTCGCCAGAACGCAGGTGGGGGATTGCTTGCGTCAATGGAGACGTACTGTGTCTTTGAACCCATGAAACTGACTTATACTGAACCAGGCCCCTGGTCCATCAAGGTCGGACTGGCAGGGGCTCTCCAGGGTCTCAGGCAGAGAGAGGTCTTCCCCAGCACATCCTGCCCGGTCCTTTTAACCTTGAGATGGCGCTGGGGATTGAACCTGGGACCTGCTGAAGTTCACCAGCTCGATGCAGCCCAGAGCATGTAGATCTTAAGAGACGTAGTAGTACCAGCTCTGGAAATCATGTGTACAAACAAATAGTGCACTCTGTTTTTAAATTAGTTGCTGTAGATTTTCCGGGTTGTGTGGCCGTGGTCTTGGCACTGTAGAACCTGACATTTCGCCAGTAGCTGTGACTGGCATCCTCAGAGGTAGAACATAGAAAGACGGAGGACTCTCTATGTCAAGGTGAGAAGAAGAAAAATTGTAGGCAGGTAATTTATATCTACTCCAGAAGGTGGGGTAGGGCTGAGTCAGTCTCTCCCAGGTTGGTGTAGTGGTTAAGTGCGCAGACTCTAATCCTGGAGAACCGGGTTTGATTCCCCACTCCTCCACTTGCACCTGGCTGGGTGATCTTGGGCAAGCCGTAGTTCTGGCACAGCTGTTCTTGAAAAAGAGCCGTTCCTGTCAGAACTCTCTCAGCCCCACCTCCCTCACAGGGTGTCTTGTTGTGGGGAGGGGAAGGGAAAGGAGATTGTAAGCTGTTCTGAGACTCCTTTGGGTAATGAAGGGCGGGGTATAAATCCAATCAGTTTGGTGTAGTGGTTAAGTGCGTGGACTATAATCTGGGAGAACCGGGTTTGATTCCCCACTCCTCCACTTGCACCTGTTGGATGACCTTGGGCAAGCCGTAGTTCTGATAAGAGCTGTCCTAGAAAAAAGAGCAGTTCCTGTCAGAGCTCTCTCAGCTCCACCTACCTCCCAGGGTGTCTGTTGTGGGGAGGGGAAGGGGAAGGAGTTTGTAAGCCGCTCTGAGACTCCTTTGGGTAGTGAAGGGCAGGGTATCAATCCAATCTCTTCTTCTTCAAGAGGTGGGTGATGGACAAGGGTCTCAATGAGTCTGGTTTTCCTTGGCACAGCGATGCAATGGGGGGGGGGGGCCTACGCCTAGTGAATTTCTGCTACTATATAATGACAATAGAAGACAACAACAAGTGTAGTAAACAGACTCAACAATTTCTTTGTATGGCTCTCCTTTACTTAATAAGTTATGTATTTTATTATAGAGCACCCTGATGAAGGACGGACTTTGAAACGTTGTTATCAAACATCCGGACACGACGTGGAATTATTTAATCGTTCGCCATTGTTTATACATTGTAGCACATACCAATGTTCCCTCTAAACTGTGGAGTCTTGTGAGCAAAAATTCTACTTTGTGAGCTATCAACGTTAAAGTTGTGAGTGAGCGATTTGGCTCCTGCATGAATTAGCTTGCTCTGGAGCCATCCTTCCTGAGCTAAGACAAAAAATGTGTGAGCTGGAGGCTATTAAACTGTGAGCTAGCTCACACGAACTCAGCTTAGAGGGAACCCTGGCACATACCAGTTCTTCATTGTTTCCATTGTGTACTTTTTCATTGTAGCCGCTTTGTATACATCATTCTCTTTTACATGTTCTTCAGGTTTTTGGCTAGCTGTAATTGTTGAGTCTGTTTACTACACTTGTTTTTGTCTTCTATTATCATTAGTGAATTTCTGCTGCCATGCAGGTAAAAGCACGGAGCCTTGCCAGGGGAAGTGAGGTGCAACAGACGTCACCCCTTGGTGTGGAGAATCTCCCAACTAGCATAAACTTCAGCAACTGATAGAGTTACTGCAGTGGCCATGCCACAAGTCAGCATTTAAAGCTGTATCTCGGTAGGGTTTCAGTAAATGGGATTAAGAAAGTTGGACATCTTGGGGAGAGTCCGTGGCTCAGTGGCAGAGCCTCTGCTTTGCATGCAGCAGGTCCCAAATTCAATCCCTGGCATCTCCAGCTAAAAGGATGAAGCATCAAGCAGTGTTCCCTCTAAGCTGAGTTAGTGTGAGCTAGCTCACAGTTTTTTTAGTCCGTGACTCTGTCTTGGCTCAGGAAAGATGGCTCCAGAGCAAACTAATTTATGCAGTAGCCAAATCTCCCGCTCACAACTTTAATGCCAGTAGCTCACAAAGTAGAATTTTTGCTCACAAGACTCCACAGCTTAGAGGGAGCATTGGCAACAAGTTATGTGAAAGGCCTCTGCCTGTGACCCTGGAAAGCCGCTGCCAGTCTGAGTAGCCAGTATTGACCTTGATGGACTGATGGTCTTATTCGGTACAAGGCAGCTTCATGTGGGTCTGTGGCTCAGTGGCAGAGTCTCTGCTTGGCACGCAGAAGGCCCCAGGTTCAGTCCCCGGCATCTCTAGTCAAAAGGACCTGGCAGTAGGTGATGGGGAAGACTGAGAGGTCCCTGGAGAGCTGCTGCCCGTCTCAGTAGACAATACTAACCTTGATAGACTGATGGTCTGATTCAGTAAGATGCAGTTGCATGTGTTCATGGCTTATGCTGTCTGGGAGGGGCTTGTGGCTCAGTGGTAGAGCATGCAGAAGGTCCCCGGTTCAGTCCCCGGCAGCATCTCCAGTTAGTCAGTCACCGGGTGATGTGAAAGACCCCTACCTGAGAGGTCCCTGGAGAGCCGCTGCCAGTCAGAGTAGACAATACTGACCTTGATGGACCAAAGGACTGATTCAGTATAAGACAGCTTCATGTATTTATCGAAGAGCCTTTGATTTGCACGCGGAAGGTCCCAGGTTCAGTCCCCGGCAGCATCTCCAGTTAAAAGGACCAGGCAGGAGGTGATGGGAAAGACCTCCGCCTGAGACCCTGGAGAGCTATAAAGAGGGGCTGTGGCTCAGTGGCAGAGCCTCTGCTTGGCATGCAGGAGGTCCCAGGTTCAATCCCTGGCAGCATCTCCAGTTAAAAGGACCAGGCAGGAGGTGATGGGAAAGACCTCCGCCTGAGACCCTGGAGAGCTATAAAGAGGGGCTGTGGCTCAGTGGCAGAGCCTCTGCTTGGCATGCAGGAGGTCCCAGGTTCAATCCCTGGCAGCATCTCCAGTTAAAAGGACCAGGCAGGAGGTGATGGGAAAGACCTCCGCCTGAGACCCTGGAGAGCTATAAAGAGGGGCTGTGGCTCAGTGGCAGAGCCTCTGCTTGGCATGCAGGAGGTCCCAGGTTCAATCCCTGGCAGCATCTCCAGTTAAAAGGACCAGGCAGGAGGTGATGGGAAAGACCTCCGCCTGAGACCCTGGAGAGCTATAAAGAGGGGCTGTGGCTCAGTGGCAGAGCCTCTGCTTGGCATGCAGGAGGTCCCAGGTTCAATCCCTGGCAGCATCTCCAGTTAAAAGGACCAGGCAGGAGGTGATGGGAAAGACCTCCGCCTGAGACCCTGGAGAGCTATAAAGAGGGGCTGTGGCTCAGTGGCAGAGCCTCTGCTTGGCATGCAGGAGGTCCCAGGTTCAATCCCTGGCAGCATCTCCAGTTAAAAGGACCAGGCAGGAGGTGATGGGAAAGACCTCCGCCTGAGACCCTGGAGAGCTATAAAGAGGGGCTGTGGCTCAGTGGCAGAGCCTCTGCTTGGCATGCAGGAGGTCCCAGGTTCAATCCCTGGCAGCATCTCCAGTTAAAAGGACCAGGCAGGAGGTGATGGGAAAGACCTCCGCCTGAGACCCTGGAGAGCTATAAAGAGGGGCTGTGGCTCAGTGGCAGAGCCTCTGCTTGGCATGCAGGAGGTCCCAGGTTCAATCCCTGGCAGCATCTCCAGTTAAAAGGACCAGGCAGGAGGTGATGGGAAAGACCTCCGCCTGAGACCCTGGAGAGCTATAAAGAGGGGCTGTGGCTCAGTGGCAGAGCCTCTGCTTGGCATGCAGGAGGTCCCAGGTTCAATCCCTGGCAGCATCTCCAGTTAAAAGGACCAGGCAGGAGGTGATGGGAAAGACCTCCGCCTGAGACCCTGGAGAGCTATAAAGAGGGGCTGTGGCTCAGTGGCAGAGCCTCTGCTTGGCATGCAGGAGGTCCCAGGTTCAATCCCTGGCAGCATCTCCAGTTAAAAGGACCAGGCAGGAGGTGATGGGAAAGACCTCCGCCTGAGACCCTGGAGAGCTATAAAGAGGGGCTGTGGCTCAGTGGCAGAGCCTCTGCTTGGCATGCAGGAGGTCCCAGGTTCAATCCCTGGCAGCATCTCCAGTTAAAAGGACCAGGCAGGAGGTGACGGGGAAGACCTCCTCTGCCTGAGACCCCGGAGAGCGGCTGCCAGTCAGTACGGATCTAGATGGTTCAATGGTCTGATTCACTAATAAGGCAGCTTCGTGTGACAATCGTAACATTGTGCAGGGACTGCCGGGCCGGGACTGCGTGCCTCACTGTGTGTCAGCATCTACTGTCGATAACAAACGTATCACCACTTGTGGCACTCTGCAGAGGAGCAACAGAGTGGAGCTCCTATCCCAGCGAGGAACTTAATTTAAAATTTGGCACGGGGGAGCAGCAGATGTGGGGGGCCGAGGGCGGGAGGATCCCGAAATGTGCATTTAGCTAAGCATCCTCCAGCCCGGTGCCAGCGCTGAAAGTGCCAAAGGCTCCGAGAAGAGGTGGGCTTTGAAGGGACTGGGGAGGGGAGCGTCACGTTGGTGTCCTGGGAACAAATGCCAGGCCCCACGAGCCAGGATGGAGAATGGGCAGAGCCGTCTGACGGAGGGAGCAGGAGATCTTAGACGACCAAGAGGGACAAGGTGCTGGGAAGAAGCTTAGAGGGAGGATGATAGGAAGGTGGAAAGAGAACTTCTGGTGACAGCTGGAGGCTCAGTTCGAGACCCTAGTGTGCCGCATGACGGAGTGAGCTCCCGTCTCTGGCTCCAGCTCCTGCCAACCTAGCCGTTCGAAAGGAAGAAATTGCAAGTAGATAAACAGGTACCGCTGCGGTGGGAAGGGAACAGCGTTCCCTGTGCCTCGGCGTCTAGTCATGCCGGCCACATGACCGCAGGAACAGTCTTCGGACAGCGCTGGCTCTTCGGCTTGGAAACGGAGATGGGCACCGCCCCCTAGAGTTGGACTCGGCTGGCTTTCGAGCAAGGGAACCTTTACCTTTACTGATCTGCCTGAGTTTTAATAAGGGCGGAAGTAGTCTAAACGGCCGTGTCACTCGGCCGTGTCGCTCGTGGTGACCTGTCACTGGCTGAACTTTGAACGACGTTGCAAAGGTGGGAACCGAGGTGGGTCCCCTCCTGCCCTTGGTCCGGTCCACGAGAAGAGGGTCTCTTGCTCACCAGCCCTACGTTTCCTTGTTAAAGAGCAGACTCCCCGGGCGGGCGGGTCCCGGCTGAGCATGTACCGCTGGTGCTTCCATTTCCCTAGAAATACTGCTCTTCGTGAAGTAACCTCAGGACTGCTTCCGGTTTCCATAGGGACCAGGGAAGGCTCACCCAAATTGTGTGTGTGTGTGTATAAGGGAAACGGAGAGCGTAGAAGCGCTCTGAATCTTCACCAGCAAGAGCTGCCGAATCCAAAAATATGTCAGCGGCTCTAAATCCGGGCTTTGTGATTGGCGTCGGATTTTAATATTATGAATGAGAATGAAATCTGCAAAATAAACAGCCTCCCCCTCTCCCACTCCCCATAGGACTGGCTCGATGCCCTCCCGGAGAAGGAATTTTCCCATCTTCTCCCCCACCCCCCTTTCAGCTGTTCACAAATTGATTGATCATTGCTCATGGCCCCAGATGGTCTCGGACAAATGCTATCTAAGCCCAGAGAGCAATTTTCTTTCTTCTGCCTGTAATTACAGAACTTTCTCTTGGCAGATGAGAACGGTGGTGGCGTGAACGGTTTGAGGGAATGCAGAGCCTCCGTAAAAGAGACCAGGAATTTTAACCCCCCCCCCCCCAAAAAAAACAAAAAATTAAGTATTTCGTACTGCTGTCCTGGGATGGAGCCTGTCGGGCCCAGTTCCCCCAGGACTGAACGGTGAATGTTGGTAGACTTCTGGGATACGGTTCTCTCCTTCTTTCCCACAGGCCCTCCTTGAAGTCCCACTGTCTAGTCAAGGAGGGTGGAGGTGGCTCAGCGGCAGAGCCCACGCTCAGCATGCGGAAGGTCCCAGGTTCCGTCCTTGGCTTCTCCAGTGGGAAAAGAGGTGTGGCTGGGGAAGATGGGAGACTTTTTGGTGTCGTAGTTAAGAGTGGCACACTCTAATCTGGGAGAGCCGGGTTTGATTCCCCACTCCTCCTCCACTTGCACCTGCTGGATGACCTTGGGCAAGCCATAGTTCCCTCAGAACTGTTCTTGAAAAAGAGCCGTTTCTGTCAGAGCTCTCTCAGCCCCACCTACCTCGCAGGGTGCCTGTTGTGGGGAGGGGATTGGAAGTCGCTCTGAGACTCCCTTGGGTACTGAAGGTAAAGGTAAAGGTTCCCTTACTCGAAAGCCAGTCGAGTCCGACTCTAGGGTTGCGGTGCTCATCTCCGCTTCAAAGCCAGGGAGCCAGCGCTGTCTGAAGACGTTTCCGTGGTCATGTGGCCGGCATGACTAAACACCAAGGTGCACCCACCGAAGTGGTACCTGTTTATCTACTTGCAATGTCTTGCTTTCGAACTGCTAGGTTGGCAGGAGCTGGAACTAGAGACGGGAGCTCACTCCGTCATGCGACACCCAGGTCTCGAACTGCTGAACTACTGACCTTCCACAGCCTGCAGTTCAGCGTCTTAACCACTTGAGCCACCGCAGCTCATGGATAGTGAAGGGCAGGGTATAAATCCAGTCTCCTCTTCCTCCTCCTCCTCCTCTCCCCGAGACCTTGGAGAGCTACTGCCAGTCTAAGTGGACAGGACCAAGCAGGGTGAACCAGTGGGTTTAACTCATCCGGGAGCTTTGAACAGGTTCCTAGAGATATGCACATGGAAAGTGAAGCAATGAGGAACTGCCCACCCATCAATATTCTTCCACTTGCTCACTTGTAAAACGCCTCCTTTCCAACTCCCCAACCTGTACTCCCCCCCCCCCCGGGTGGTTCCAAAACATGATTTAAAAATGTTGCTTGCATCTGACCATCAACATGCTAGCTGTGTGGTCACTGACTGTCCAATTAAGGATCAGTTGGGAACAATAAAAGGTAGGGTTCCCATTTGACCCCAAGTTTATGGTGGGAGACCTGTGGGTAATCATGCAGGATGATGCTGTTGCAGTCTTCCCGTTTGGGGCTTCCAGAGGTAGCTGGTTGGCCACTGTGTGGACAGAATGGTGGGCGAGACGTGCCTTGGATTTGATGCAGCGTGGCTGTTCTTGCGTTTAATTGCCTGCTGATGCTCACCTGTTTGGCGAGAGGAAACTGAGGATAAAGAAGGGGCCGTGATCATCTTGGGGAGAAAAATTAAAAATAAAAATAAGGCCTTGTCTCCTTACCAGACGTTCTGAGCGTAGAGTTCCTGGCAGTTCCCAGAGCTAAGAACATAAGAGAAGCCAGAGAGTTCCTACCTATACCTTGTGGCTAAGAGCCACTGATGGACCTCTGCTCCAGATGTTTATCCATAAGAACATAAGAGAAGCCAGTGTTGGATCAGGCCAGTGGCCCATCCAGCCCAACACTCTGTTGTCACACAGTGGCCAAAAATACCAGAGGCCATCAGGAGGCCCAGCAGTGGGGCCAGGACACTAGAAGCCCTCCCACTGTTGCCCCCCCAGCACCAAGAAGACAGCCTCCCTTGCCCCAGACCGAGAGTTCCTCTCTATACCTTGTGGCTCAGAGCCACTGATGGACCTCTGCTCCAGATGTGACAAGCTACCTAGCAGTGACAAGGGGAGCTCTAGCAATCGCCAGAAACTCTGTGGTAATATTATTCAAGGTCACTCGGTGAGCTTCCAGGGCACTTTGGGGATTCAAAGGTGGGTTTCCGGGATCTTTGGCCAGCACTTTTAACCACCACGGGCTCTTTAGTATGCCCTTTGAAGGAGAAGGGTTTCTTCTCCAGGAAAGACAGTTTGAAATAGATCCAATCCCCCCCTCCCTTTATCCTAGGGGACAGAGGCAAAGAGTGCGGAGAAGCGAGCCTCCCCTTCGAAGGCACCATCCGCAACAACCCCTCGGTCTAGTGTGAGAAGCAGCCCCGCCACACCCCGGCCATCGACAGCTCTGGCGAGCACGAATGCGGCAGCCGGCCCCAGGAACGCGGCCACTTCCCCACCCAAGAGGCCCTCAAGTGAGTATCTCCCTGCCTGGGGCATGCTGGGAAAGGGACTCTGTTACTAGGGGGCGGGGTGGGGGAGGGTGTCCGTTCACACATGCTAACCTTGCAGTCCTTACATGGTACCAAGCAGTGTTCCCTCTAAGATGAGTTAGTGTGAGCTGGCTCACCGTTGTTTTAGCCTGCGGCTCACACATTTTTGTCGCAGCTCAGGAAGGATGTGGCTCCAGAGCAAACTAATTTATGCAGCAGCCAAACCGCTCGGTCACAACTTTAATGCCAGGAGCTCACAAAGTAGAATTTTTGCTCAGAAGATTCCACAGCGTAGAGGGAGCATTGGTACCAAGTCAGCCCTGCTAAAATAAGGACTTGCATTAGAGGGGAAATTCTGGCCTTTGTTTCAGCTGACATTCACGCACGCTGCATTGAACGCTTCAGGGTTCATTTTGTAGAAAAAGAGGTGCAGGAGCTCATTAGCATGACTCATTAGCATATGCCACACACCCTGACATCACCGGAAAGGTATCAGAAGGCAACACCCACCGCTCAGGCTCCACTGGACTGTTTTGGATTGCTAGCTATGGGGGGGGGGACGTGCAGATCTGTCGTCGCAGAGGAGGGAGAGCTTGTACCTGAATAAAACTTGGTCTTAAAGGTGCCACTGGACTGTTTTGGACCGGGGGGCGGGGGGGGGCTCTGCAGCTTACCTGGCTGCTTCTTGCTCTGACTGAGGGCTGCTGGGAGCAGGGGGTGGGGCTTGTTGCATGTGCCCATCCCGTGGGCTCTTTACTCCCGGAGCTCCGCTCCTGTGCGCTCCTGCAGGAATTGACCCCTGGAACGCTTCTTGTAATTGAAACGAGAGAGGTAGAAAACTTCCGAGTTGTGCAACTCCAAATCCATGAGCGAGGTGCAAATTAAAACGAACCCAGTGGGGGAGTCCTTTCCAGAGGTGCTCTCCCATTTCACTGCTACGCGGGGGGTGTGGGCAACAGAAAACAAAAAGGAAGGCCAATAAGCCAGCAGATCTCAGTTTTCCCTGTGCGTGTGGATGGATCCAGTCACAGGATTCACCTGTGCTCTGCTTGGCAAGACTCCCCGTCCCCAGCTGGCTTGGAGCTCTGGGGGGCTCAGGTGGCAAAGCCGACTTGACAGCAAAACTGTGCTTCGCTTTCTTTTTGTAACTCGGCACGGCACTGGCTTTTCACTTCCTTTTTTTAGGCCATACATATTTTTTGGGTTAAACCTCTCCCTGTCAGATCCTTTGCTTCCGATGAAGAGCGCCCCCTAGCTTCTTTGCGGCTTCTTGGGCAGGCTGACCTGAAAGTGGGGCCGGGCAAGAGTGGGGACAGCACGGTGGATCCGGCGATAATTTCGGCCGCAATGATGTGCATCTGCCCAGCCGGGCTGCCTTCCCACTCTCGGAAGTCTTCCCACGGCTCTAGCCAGGCTCGGGTAGCTTAAGCTTGAGAAGAAGAGCGCAGCCCAGGGGGAGGCGTGCACGTTGTGTGTGTCAAGGGAAAGATGCCGAGAGAGAGCAGCTGGCCATAGGGCTGCCAAGTCCCCCCGGGGGAGCAGAAATCCCCCCGCCCCAGAGGCCCGTTCCCCGACGCCGGGGAATTGGGGCCCGGGGTGAACCCCGCCCCAGCGTGCACGTCACAGGGAAGAGACGTCATGACGCCGGGCACGCTGGGGGCGGGGCCACGCCCCCCAGCGTGCCCGGGCGTCATGACATCACTTCCCTGTGATGTGCATGCGGCACGCGCACCGGGAGACGCACAGGATTCTCCCGCCGGCAGGGTAAGTGCCACTTGGCAACCCTAGCCGGCCAGCCTCAGGGAAGCGGAACTGGGGGTCCTTCTGCATTCACGCTTTCCTTGCTTGCACGTTCCCGTGCCTTTGGGGAGGAGGGTTTCTCTTCCTCACAAGTCTTCCTCTCTCTACTGGTCGGCTTGATATTACACCAGTTTATATCCAGCGTCTCTTTCTGCAGATTTAAGCGGCAGGTTTTCTATGCCTGACATAAACCAGTGTTCTATTGAGTCAACCACTAGAGGGAGCAAAACATGTGCAGAGCAGGAAACCCCCCCACACACACACATACACACCAAAAGAGAGGAATTTGCAAGCAAGGAAAATGAGAGTGCACAGAAGCCCCTTGATTCACCTGACTCTTTCTCATCTCCCACAGCCATCAAGACGGATACAAAGCTTGTCGATGTCAAGAAGACCACTGCAAAGTCACCCTCAGGTAAGCTTGCCAGACGCTAAGGGAACGGCATTTGTGTCCGGAGCACCCGCCGCTTCCTCCGCTGACCGCCGCGTCCTCTTCCTCCTCCGCAGCTGACCTGAGCCGCCCAAAGAGCGCCCCCTCCACCACTGCCAAACCCGGCTCCACCACCCCGACAGCCGCTTCCCCCGCCCAGCCCGGAGCCGCCGCTAGCCGGCCCAAGCCAGCAGCCCCCAGGCTCTCCGGGACAGGCAGCACGACAGCCGCGGACTCCAAGAAGGCGTCCACGCTAAAAGCTGCCCCCAAAACGAGTCCTGTCGCCAAGCCCCCCCGGCCCCCGACCAGCGTGTCCGCTCCTGACCTGAAGAACATCCGTTCCAAGATTGGGTCCACAGATAACATCAAGTACCAGCCCGGCGGAGGAAAGGTAAGCTCCGTGGGGGGGGGGCGGATTCGGAATTGCGCTCTGTGTTGTCGTGGAGGGGCGTCTGGGACCCAGGGGTGTTTCTGGACAGCTTTCGTACCCACAACGGCAGTGCAGCGTCTCTTACGCTTCCGATCTGGAAAGGCAAATTGCAAGAGAGCCCTGTCTTAGTAGAGGGTCGAGCCTGTTTGAACAGGGCGGCCAGTCGAGTGTGTAGAGCAGGGGTCCCCAACACGGGGCCCGTGGGCGCCGTGTTTCCCGCCACTACCTTTCCTGGTGGCCGCCAAGTGGTTTTAGGAAGTGGGTGGGGCTTTTGCCCAGCAAGACGTCTGATTGGCTGCTGGAGAATTGATTGACTGCAGGGTTTGTTTGTTTTTTTAAAAAAAAAACATTGCTTTGGCAGCAGCTCTTCACTGTACCAGAAGATAAGCCGTGGCAGCCATTTTGTGGCTGACTCCGCCTCTGGCGGCAGCTGTTTCCTGGCAACCCTTTTGTAGCTGGGGCCCACCGTGCCGTGTCAGAATTCCAAAGGTGCCCAGGGGCTCAAAAATGTCAGGGACCTCTGGCATCGAGGGAAGGAGGACTTTAATGGAGTATCGCTCTTGCAGCACCCCCTGCTGGCCCCTGCCAACCTCTGCCTCTTCAGGTAACCCCCTGCGTTTTCAGCTCCAGAGAAGGATCTCTCTTGAGGAAGCACAAGCAGTGGCCGGCGCAGGAGAAACCGCTCGGCAGCCTGGCCCACCTTCACCCATGCAGGCCTGGAAACGTTTTTCACCGAGACAGGCCTGAGGGTCCGTAGAGCAGCTGCATGTTTTCCTGCAGATCCCGGTTGTTGCCGGCATCTTCTTTGTGGGACCTGAATCAAGCCCCCGGGGTCTTCAGTGGCTGTGATCAGCTTGGGCTGAGTGCTTGGAGGAAGAGTGGGCTTATTCTGGCTAACCTTGGGCTCACTGAGAACTTTTGGTTCCCTCCAGAGAACATCTGCTGAGCGTGCTCCAACAGGCACATTCCTTTGCTGGATTTCCCTAGCTCTTCCCATCCCAAAGGATTCAGGCATTCCTTTATATGTAACTCCCATATACTTGTTTTGTTTTTTTTAAAAAAAAAAAACATTCACACTTAACAGATATTCCAGTCCCCACACATGAAAGAACATCGATAATCCTTGGCAAGACTAGAGACCCTTCAGATCTCCTCCGTTTCATCCCAGGTTAAGTAATCCTGTCTGCAGCAGCAAGGGAGGCCTGTAGAGCAGGGGTGTCAAACGTGCGACCTGGGGGGTTTCTAGGAGGCCCACAGTGGAACTGGCTGTCTTCTTCTTCTTCTTCCGGTTCTGCTGCTGCCGCGTCATCGTAGGTCTGCAGCTTACAGATACACACCTGAACAGCAGACTCAAGATTGCAACAGCACAGACGTTTTGATGCAATAATTCAGAGCCAGAGGTGTCAGTGATCACACACTGCTAAATAAGCAAAATATTGCAAGAGTGCCAACCTTTTAAGCATGTAGTTGCTGTAGATTTTCCGGGATGTGTGGCCGTGGTCTTGGCATTGTAGGACCTGACGTTTCGCCAGTAACAGTGACTGGCATCCTCAGAGGTATAAACACAGAAAGATGGAGTACTCTCTGTGCCAGTTTGGTGTAGTGGTTAAGTGCGCGGACTCTAATCTGGGAGACCCGGGTTTGATTCCCCACTCCTCCACTTGCACCTGCTGATGTGACCTTGGGTCAGTCACAAGCTCTGGCACAGCTGTCCTTGAAAAAGAGCAGTTTGTGTCAGAGCTCTCTCAGCCCCACCGACCTCCCAGGGTGTCTGTTGTGAGGAGGGGGAGGGGAAGGAGTTTGTAAGCCGCTCTGAGACTTCAAGTGAAGGGCGGGGTATAAATCCAATCTCCTCCTCCTCCTCCTCCTCCTCCTCCTCCTCCTCCTCCTCTTCTTCTTCTTCTTCTTCTTCTTCTTCTTCTTCTTCTTCTTCTTCTTCTTCTTCTTCTTCTTCTTCTTCTTCTTCTTCTTCTTCTTCTTCTTCTTCTTCTGTGTCAACCTTGATGCCAAGACCACGGCCACACATCCCGGAAAATCTACAGCAACTAATGAACTCCGCCCGTGAAAGCCTTCGACAACAAATTCTAAGCATGTTTTTATTATAAGTAAAAAAGACACCTTTGTGTTTTGAGTCCTTTATAAAGTTTATCTCTCCGCTCTCCCTGGCATTGCATGTTATGACACACGCACGGACGGCCCAACAAGGTCTCGTTCATGTCAGATCCGGCCCTTGTAGCAAATGAGTTCGACACCCCCGCTCTAGAGGTTTCTCCCTGGAATATGGATTTTGAGACGGAGACGTTAGTGCATGACCGCCGCCCCAAGGTGTCAGGGCTGAAACATCCTGCCGTTCACGCTTACGTAGACGAGGACGAGGACCAGAATCTCGAGGTCTAAGACGGGAAATCCAGTGTGTTTGCATTTACTGACCTGACCGGGCATGAACCCTGCTGTATGTTCCTGCCGCTCAAGGTTGTGTCAGTAAGGCTTGTGGAGAAGTTTGGATAGTTTATCACAACCCCCTTCTCCTGTCTCTTCAGCAAATGATTGTCCCTGCTTGCTCCTTTTTGCAGTCACTGGAACAGGAACAGCAACAAAAGAACCCCACAGGAAACAAACTGCAGGCATATCCTTGGGCTACCGCTGGGAGCCCGGGCCAAGGGGCATCGCCCCCAAACACTCAAGTCTCAGCAGTTGGGGAATGTCTTTTAGTGGAACGCAGTTCTGCAGCCTGGTGACCTCACCGCAGTCAGCTGCTCACTTCTGGCTTTCCTTTCTCTGTGATGCTCTGTGAACTCAGCCAGCATGGGGTTCTTTGCCCAGGTGGCCTCCTCTTTGGAGGACGTTGCTGTAATCAAGGAGGCCCCTTCCATGTAGAAAAGAGCTCTTTTCTACTGCCAAAGACCAACTCGCACGGCGACCCTTTCTTGGGCAATGGCCCTGGAGTGCAAGGCTTCCGGGGAGAGAAGGTTCCTTCACGGCGATCTTCAAAGTCCTGACCTGTGTCGCCCAACTGCACCCAAATCCGGTTTAGTGCCTATAAAAGAACGCCATCAAACACACACACACCCTCCAAGTACTGCTGTTATTTGCTTCTTAGTGTGGTCAGATGGTAGGTTGCAGAAGGAACCAACCGCGGTTTCACAAAACCAGGTGGGGTCACACTCTTGGGGCCAAAACTGACAAGTCATAGCATGCAGTTATCGTGCAAGAATCTCTTCCGAGGTTGCATACGTCGTCCCCCCCCCCATTGGGAACCATGGAGACAACTGGGTGTTTTGTGGGGCTGCTCCAGAGACAAATTCTCATTTTGAGTCCGTGGCCGCTGCCTGAATAGGGAGGGGGGCGTGTTTGGGTCAAGAAAAGGGAACGCGCAAGTTTGAGGGAGGTAAAAACGTGCGCTAGTTTGGGAGACCGGGAGGGGTCTGAGAATTCTGGCTCCAGACTTACCATGTGGTTCTTCCCCACCCCGCAGTTCCCTAGACTTGCTTCTGAGCTTGGCCCGGAACAGGATTTGGGATAGCGGCTGGCTTGCCTAGAATGCAGGGCGTTTCCGGGCAGGCTCCCCTCTGCCTGGGCGGCAGCCTCAGCGACTGTCCCTGCTGCAGCGGGGGGGGGGGGGGCTTGCGGAGTTTTTAACTAGTCTTGGGGGGGGGGTGCAGCTGGTGCTGCTGTCACTGAGCAGGAGCGGGGTGCCCATACAATCATAGAATGTTAGAGTTGGAAGGGACCTTGCAGGTCATCTAGCCCAACCCCCTGCACTCTGCAGAAGCACAGCCAAAAGAGAGCCCTGCATACCTTCAACATACCCGGAAGATGGTCGTCCAGCCTCCCAGAACCGCACAAGGAGTCCGCGGCAAGGAGAGGGGCTTGAACCCGTGTCTCCTGGCTTTCCCCACCCCCACCACAATGGCGCTGTGTTTCTCTGGCCTTGGGTATAAGATGACGTCCCTCCGGTTCCACGGGGCCACATGGATGCCCCAGGTGTTGGTTTGACATTCATCCCCCTTTCCCGTCATTGCTTCTTCTACTTTTTTTTTTTAATTTCTCATGATGTAAAAAGTCACCCTCCATTTGTCTCCATTTAGGCAAAAGTAGAGAGAAAGGCAGAGTCAGCCGGGGCCGCCCGGAAGCCCGAACTCAATGCAGTCTCTAAAACAACCGTAACAAAAGAGGGTGCCCCAAAGCAGCCCAATGGGAAAGTGAGTTTTATTTCAGCCTTCTCTCACTTGGGGGAGAGAAAAGGACCGGCTCTGTGACTTATTTTTTTTCTCCCCCCTTTCACTCCCCGTTTGGGTCACTCTCCCTTCTTCTCTCTTAACTCTCGCACTTTTTTTTTTCTCTCGTCGTCCCTGTTCTCCGACCTCTTTCATTGCACGCACCTTCCCGTGTGTATGTCCCACGCCGCGGTCGGTGAAGTTCGTGGGGTGAAACGAGTGCCCATCCGCCTTTCTCTCTTCAGATGGGGGAAGCCCCGCCAGCGTGGCTTCGCCCTCCCGCACGGAAAGGGTTGTGGACCCTCCGGCTTCCCAGGCCCCGAAGAACCAATTTTCCTCTCTCTCGCCTGCTCCGCATCCCTCAGCAGCTTTCAGTTGCTTTGTTTCTGTCGTCAACCGCATTTTTCAGGGCAAAGGGACAGCTAAGCTATGCATCGTAGGCCCGCTTGGACTGAGACCGGAGGGTCTAGTTCTCACAGAGGTGGCCGACTTGTGTCTGGGCCATACTGCTTCAGACTGCCGGTAGGGCGCGCTCACAGTGGACTTCTTCTCTGTACAGAAAGACAGCTTCAGAGGTTAGCCGTGCCGGTCTGCAGTAGAACAGCCAGATTTATCTCCCCGATGCCATTTAACATCTACATGCGCCCCCTCGCCCAGCTGGCATGGAGTTGCAGGCTTGGGCGCCTCCAGTATGCTGATGACACCCAGCTACAGGGGTCATTTCGTAGAAAAAGAGGTGCAGGTGCTCATTAGCATAACTCATTAGCATAACTCATTTGCATATGCCACGCCCCCTGACATCACCGGGAGTGTGTCAGAAGGCAACACCCACCGCTCAGGCTCCACTGGACTGTTTTGGATCGCTAGCTATTGGGGTGGGGGGACATGCAGATCTGTCCTCACAGAGGAGGGAGAGCTTGTACCTGAATAAAACTTGGTCTCAAAGATGCCACGGGACTGTTTTGGACTGGGGGGCCGGTGGGGGGCCCTCTGCAACTCAACTGGCTGCTTCTTGCTCTGACTGAGGGCTGCTGGGAGCAGGGGGTGGGGCTTGTTGCATGTGCCCGCCCCCTGGGCTCTTTACTGCCAGAGCTCCGCTCCTGTGCGCTCCTGCAGGAAATGACCCCTGTCCAGCTATATCTGTTATTGGACAGCCACCCAGATGACACCCTGCAGAATCGCTGCAGGCTTGGAGGCTGTGGTGGGGTAGTTAAAAAAGAGCAAGTTGAGTCTTAATCCAACAAAGACGGTTCTGTGGCTGGAGTGTGTGTGGGGGGGGTGCCTTCGGGGCTGGGGCTCTTGACGGGGCGCTGTTGACTTCAGCACAGTCTGTCAAGAGTTTGGGTGTGATTCTGGATGCCTCCTTGAATATGGGCCACGGTGGCTCAGTGGTTAAGATGCTGAGCTGGAGGCACTAAGGTCCGTAGCTCGGCAGTTCGAAACCCCAGTGCCACGTGACGGAGTGAGCTCCCGTCTCTGGTTCCAGCTCCTGCCAACCTAGCAGTTCGAAAGCAAGAAACTGCAAGTAGATTCACAGGTGCCGCTTCAGTGGGAAGGGAACAGCGTTCCGTGCGCCTCGGCGTCTAGTCATGCTGGCCACATGACCACGGATAAGTCTTCGGACAGCGCTGGCTCTTCGGCTTGGAAACGGAGATGAGCACCGCTCCCCAGAGTTGGATTCGACTGGCTTTCGAGCAAGGGGAACCTTTTTACTTGACTATGGAGGCCCAAGTCACACGTATTTGCCAGAGTGGCAATCTCTAGATGGTGCTCCTGGCATTGACTCTGTCTGTACAAAAAAAAAATCCCCTATACATGGAAACAAGAGTGTGTTGGGAAGAAGGCTACTTAGGAGGACACTGGCTTCCTCGTGCCACTCTGAAGTGGTAGGGCCTGGGCACAGGAAGAACACCACTAAAGGCTGGCTGGGCCGGGGAATGAAGGTCTGGTGAGCTCACGTTGGGGAGGGACCCTCCAGACCCTGTCTCCTAATCAGTCTCATCCAGTGTTCCCTCTAAGCTAAGTTAGTGTGAGCCAGCTCACGGTTTTTTAGCCTCCGGCTCACACATTTTTGTCTCCGCTCAGGAAGGAGGGCTCCAGAGCAAACTTAATTTATGTAGCGGCCAAATCGCTTGTTTACAACTTTAATGCTAGTCGCTCAAAAAGTAGAATTTTTGCTCACGAGACTCCACAGCTTGGTCTCATCGTCTGCTTATTAAAACACAGTGTTTTGTGGAGCTCCAGACCAGTGTCCCCTCTAAGCTGAGTCAGTGTGAGCTATTTCACAGTTCTTTGGCCTCCAGCTCACACATTTTTGTCTCCGCTCAGGAAGGAGGGCTCCAGAGCAAACTTAATTTATGTAGCGGCCAAATCGCTTGTTTACAACTTTAATGCCAGTCGCTCAAAAAGTAGAATTTTTGCTCACAAGACTCCACAGCTTAGAGGGAGCCTTGCTCCAGACTCGTTTGGGGCCACCGCTTTCAGACAGCCGGTCGTTCCGTGGTGGCCATGCGGTCAGTGGGCCGCCTGACCCCTCGCCTGACCGGCTGCATGCGTTGAGTCTCCCCGACAATTCAGCGGTGGCAGCGCAGGAAGTAGTTAAACGCAAAGCTGCCCTTGGTCATTATCAAAGGCATCCATTCCAAAACGTGCTGAGGCATCAACAGTCATTGTCTCTGTTTTGGTGGCACCGGGGCTGAGTGTTCTACCACCGCCCGTGGCCAAGCCGGGTCAGTTCAGCCTTTGCAACGCAATGGGTGCCGGAGCTTCAAGACAGACAGTGCCTCCGTCCTGGTGGCACCAGCCATGGCCCCAATTAATTAACTTGAACTTGGCTGGCGTGTCGGGGGGGTGGGGAGGGTGCCATCGTTTGCCCTGTGCCGACTAGATCTTCTCGTCCTGGCTGTAGGCAAGTTGGCTCGAAATGAGCAGGGCAGTAGCAGTGTTCCCTCTAAGCTGAGTTGGTGTGAGCTAGCTCACAGTATTTTAACCTCCGGCTCACACCTTTTTGTCTCCGCTCAGGAAGGAGGGCTCCAGAGCAAGCTGCTTTCGGCAGCAGACAAATCGCTCGCTCACCATTTTAATGCCAGTCGCTCACAAAGTAGGATTTTTGCAAGACTCCACAGCTTAGAGGTTGGGAGGCGGATTTGTCGAGAATAGCAGCAGAGTTGGTTGCGCAGGGGTCACTGTGCTGGTCGTTGCCGTCAGACGGGAGCCCTTGAAAGGCAGCTTGCTTTGTTATTTATTTGGACACTTCCGACCCCACCGTTCCTCGTGGTTCAAGGCAGCTTACAGTAATAGTTTAGAACGTTTTTGGTTTAAAAATGGAAGGTGGAATGGTAAAACGTCAGCTGTCTTCTCCCTCCGCCCCTCAGAAGATGCCTGCCAATTCCGACACCCTCCAAAGTCCTGGCAAACAGGCAGGCCTGTAAGAGCCAGAGTCTGTGCCAGGCGGACCACCCTGACCGTAATCGGCACACAGGGACCTACGGAAGGAGACGGTCCTTCAGTTACATGGGTCCCGGGCAACGCTCCCTCTAAGCTGTGGAGTCTTGTGAGCAAAAATCCTGCTTTGTGAGCTGCTGGCGTTAAGGCTGTGAGCAGGCGATTTGGCTACTGCATCACCCAATCAGTTTGCTCTCAAGCCCTCCTTCCTGAACTAAGACAAAAAAGGGTGAGACGGAGGCTAAAAGACTGTGTGCTAACTCACACTAACTCAGCTTAGAGGGAACACTGGCCCCAGGTCCTGAAGGGCTTTCAAGGTCATCGCCGGTACCTTGAATTGAACTGGGAAACAGACTGGCAGCCAAAGTAGCTGTTTCAAAACAGGCGGCACGACATTCCTAGCAGCGAAGCCCTGAAAACAGTTGGGGGATCTCTTGTAGCTCCAGGGTTGTTTTCAGGACCAGCCCCACGTAGAGCATGTTGTAGGAATCCAGCCGTGGGGGTCACAGGTGCATGGATCAGCATAAAGGGCTTTCAAGGTCGTGACGAGCACCTGGAATTGGACTCGGAAACAGGCTGGCGGCCGATGAAGCTGTTTCCAAATGGGATTTGTTCACCGTGTCTTTTCCTTCCTCCCCAGGTGTCTAATAAATAGGTGGTGAAAGGTAGATTCAGCCTCAGAACGTTCTGCACCTGTTCCCATTGGTCTTAGGACCTGTGACTTTCCAGGGAGGAATCTCAACCTTTGTGAATCTCAGGGATGTGGCGACCCCGTCCTCTCCATGAGGCCCACTGCTGGACCTCCTGATGGCACCTGGTATTCTTTGTCCACTGTGTGACAGAGTGTTGGACTGGATGGGCCATTGGCCTGATCCAACATGGGCTTCTCTTATGTTCTTATGGATGAACATACGGAGCAGAGGTCCATCAGTGGCTGTTAGCCACAAGGTATAGACAGGAACTCTCAGTCTGGGGCAAGGGATGCTCTGTATTCTTGGTGCTTGGGGGGGGGGGCAACAGTGGGAGGGCTTCTAGTGTCCTGGCCCCACTGCTGGACCTCCTGATGGCCCCTGGTGTTTTTGGCCACTGTGTGACAGAGTGTTGGACTGGATGGGCCATTGGCCTGATCCAACATTGGCTTCTCTTATGTTCTCATGAGAAAATAGCCATGGCACAAGGTCATTCAATTGCTCTTCCTGACATGCACACACACACCCCGAGCAGTTGGTGTGATGCCACATTCAGGTGGTGCCCTCTCCCAAAATACCAGAATTTGAGGGCATCCGATGAAGCCGATGGGCAGTAGGTTCAGGTCGGACAAAAGAAAATACTACTTTATGCAGAGAGTGATTAAAAGGTGGGATTTGCTGCCAGAAAATATAGTGACTGCCTCAGGAATAAACAGCTCGAAAAGGGAATTAGATAGATTCATGGAGGATAAGTCTATCAGTGGCTACTAAGGGGAACCTTCCCATTCAGAAGCACTAAACCTCTGAATCGCAGAGCCAGGAGGCAACTTTGGCCTCTATATCTTGTTGCTGGCCCCCGCAGAGGAACTGGTTGGCCACTGTGTGAGCTGGACTAGATGGACCCTCCCTGGTCTGATCCAGCAGGGCTCTTCTGAGGTTCCTTATCAGGGGGAAGGCCTCGGCCTCTCTGCCCAGTTGCTGGTCCTCCAGAGGAACTGGCTGGCCCCTGTGTGAGAAAAGGATTCTGGACTAGATGGACCCTCACTGGTCTGACCCTGCAGGGCTCTTCTGAGGTTCTTCTCAGGGGAAGGCCTCTGCCTCTCTGCCCTGTTGTTGGCCCTCCAGAGGAACTGGCTGGCCACCGTGTGAGACGGGAGGCTGGACTAGATGGACCCTCATTGGTCTGATCCAGCAGGGCTCTTCTGGTGTTCTCATCAGGGGAAGGCCTCGGCCTCTCGGCCCTGTTGTTGGCTCTCCAGAGGAACTGTCTGGCCACCGTGTGAGACAGGATGGACCCTCACTGGTCTGACCCAGCCGGGCTGTTCTGATGTTCTTATGAACTACCCTCTGTAGCACCTTTCTCCCTTCACAGTGAGGGGAAAGTGTGAGCACTGGAAAATGAGACAAGAGACTCATTCGTTCTGTTCTTGTGGGGAAATCATCTTGCTACACCAAAAGCAATTATTCAAGCCCCAGGTGAGAACCCCACATTTGTGTGTGTGTATTGATGCTGGGAAAGACTGAAGGTCAAAGAAGACGGGGACGGCAAAGGATGAGATGGTTGGACAGTGTCATCGATGCAACGAACATGAAGTTGAGCCAACTTCAGAGGACGGCGGAAGACCGGAAGGCCTGGCATGATGTGGTCCATGGGGTCACGAAGAGTCGGACTCGACTGTGTGACTGAACGACAACAACATTTGCTGCATTCACAGCATGGAAAGCACACACAGTGTGAATATCCAATATGGGGTTTCTCCGCAGAAAGAGGCTAAGGGGGATTGATTCGGCCCAGGTGGCGTTGACAAAGTCGTCCAGCATCTTCCAAATGCAGACGAGGACAGCTGGATTCAGGGCTGCATCAGTTAGATTACAGGCTGTCAGCCCTGCCTTGGATGGGTCAGGTGACTCTTCTTCCGCAGAAAGCCAAAGAAGTGCAGTTGCAAAACGTAGAGAGGCAAGACATGAAGGCCTCTTCCCATCTCCAGTGAAGTACAAGTCCTCGAGGTTGTTAGTAACGCAAGCAAAAGTTGGCCTTCCGACTTTCCAAAAGCTCCACCCGTGGACTGCTGACCTGGTGAGCCATCCTGCGTCCACTGGCGGTTGGGATTCTTGCAAAGAACGCTGGACTGCGCAGATAGAGCTCAGACTCATCCAGTAAGATGGTTGCTATGGGAGAGAATACACAAGGCCCCTTAACTCTAAGCTGTTCAGAGGTCACAAGGATGCCCTGTGGTATGCATGAAAGTTCACATTTTAGTAGGCGTATAAAACCACTAACCTAAAAGCTCAATAAATTCTCACTTGAGTAAAAAAAATGGAAGTGCAAAATATCCTGTTTTGCATAAACTGTTCTACCGCAGACCAAGGCAGCTGCCCTCCGAAACACTCTGGCTCTGCATGCTTAAAATATCTCGGCGGCCTCTGGGCTTGCCAGTTAAACAGCGAGCCCTGCAAGCGTGGGGACCAACGCTCCCTCTAAGCTGGGGAGTCTAGCGAGCAGAAATTCCGCTTTGTGGGCTTACCGGCATTCAAGTGGCGAGCGAGCGATTTGGCTGCTGCATAACTTGGTTGGCTCTGGAGCCATCCTGCCTGAGCGGAGACAAAAACGTGCGAGCCAGAGGCTAAAAGACTGTGAGCTGGCTCACGCTCACTCAGCTTAGACTGGTGGGGACCCTGGTATTCATCCGCCGACCAGGATCTCTCCTCTACCTGCCGTCAGAGAATGAGGCCGAACAACCAGAGAGACCCTTTCTTAGAAAGCTGGCCCTCCCCCAAGTCGCTCCGTGCCAGCCCCGAGAATGCCGCTGCCACTAACACTGTCTGCCTCGCCATCTCATGTGTCCATTTGTTCTCTCTCTCTCTCTCTCTCTCTCTCTCTCTCTCTCTCTCTCTCTTGCTGTCCCTTCCTCGTCCGAGTTTGTTCACACTTAATCCTCGACCAGGTTGGAGTCCTAACACCGCTCTCTCTCTCTGTCCCCCTCCGTCCGCCGCGCCCGAGACTAGCTCCCACCAGAGGATTCTAACCAGCCCTCTTTCCTTGTGTCATTCTCTCCGTCTCTGTGACACTCCAGGTCCAGATAATCTCCAAAAAAGCCAGCTACAGCCACGTCCAGTCCAAGTGCGGGTCCAAGGACAATATTAAGCACGTCCCTGGAGGTGGGAATGTGAGTATCCGAGGGCACTGGACAGCCGTCTCTTTCCACTAACTCCTCTCCGGGTTTGGACCGTAGTGTGCTTGTCTGTGTGTGCCTATATATATGTGTGTGTGCGTGTGTATTTGTGTGCGTGTTCTTTTCCCATATCAGAAAGGAAGCAGGGCATTTTTCTTTGGGAGTAAGATTCAGGAAGGGACAAAGGCACTGGGTGAGGGGATGCCTCGAAATGAAGGCTGCGGTACAGGGACGTTTAGCCGTCTGTGAGGTCGAGACGGTGTACAGCGGGTCTTCACAAGAGATGGGTGCCTCTTCTGAAGCACTGCTAGCCGGGAAGCATTTGGAGAGGTCTATCAGTGGCTACTAGCCATGGTGACTAAAGGGAATGGTCAGAGGAACTAGTCCTCTGCATCCCAGTTCCAGGAGGCAACATCAGGGGAAGGCCTCGGCCTCTCTGCCCTGTCGTTGGTCCTCCAGAGGAACTGGCTGGCCCCTGTGTGAGACGGGAGGCTGGACTAGAGGGACCCTCCCTGGTCTGATCCAGCAGGGCTCTTCTAGTGTTCTTCTCAGGGGAAGGCCTCGGCCTCTCTGCCCTGTCGTTGGTCCTCCAGAGGAACTGGCTGGCCCCTGTGTGAGACGGGAGGCTGGACTAGAGGGACCCTCCCTGGTCTGATCCAGCAGGGCTCTTCTAGTGTTCTTCTCAGGGGAAGGCCTCGGCCTCTCTGCCCTGTCGTTGGTCCTCCAGAGGAACTGGCTGGCCCCTGTGTGAGACGGGAGGCTGGACTAGAGGGACCCTCCCTGGTCTGATCCAGCAGGGCTCTTCTAGTGTTCTTCTCAGGGGAAGGCCTCGGCCTCTCTGCCCTGTCGTTGGTCCTCCAGAGGAACTGGCTGGCCCCTGTGTGAGACGGGAGGCTGGACTAGAGGGACCCTCCCTGGTCTGATCCAGCAGGGCTCTTCTAGTGTTCTTCTCAGGGGAAGGCCTCGGCCTCTCTGCCCTGTCGTTGGTCCTCCAGAGGAACTGGCTGGCCCCTGTGTGAGACGGGAGGCTGGACTAGAGGGACCCTCCCTGGTCTGATCCAGCAGGGCTCTTCTGATGTTATGTCAAAGGCATAACATCAGAAGAGGCACCCATCTTTGTCAAAGGCTTTCACGACCAGAGTTAATTAGTTGTTGTAGATTTTCCAGGCTGTATGGCAAGGCCACGGCCATACAGCCCGGAAAACCTACACCAACTAATCTTCTCATGTTCTTAGCTCCTGTTTCCTTCATGAGCTGGGTGCAGGTGCCTGGAAAAGGGCTGTTCTGGAGTGAGCTCTGTTTCCCGACAGTCTTGCCCTCGCTTTGAAGGTTAGCAAGTGGAGGGGTCCGCTGGGGATTCACTGTCACGGTGGGTGCCCACAGAAAGGGTTGGGCTTTATCCTGGCGTAGCTCGGGTCAAGCTACCGTGAGCTCAGCGTGTTTTCAGTGGGTGCTCTTTGAGGCCAGGACAGTTTCTGGAGACCCCAGCTGGCAACTGGTTCTGGGCCGGCCAGGGCGGTGTAGCAGATAAGATGTTCAGACTAGAATCTGGGAGACGTGAGTTCGAATCCAGCTGTGCCAAGGAAGCTCGCTGGGTGACCTTGGGCCAGTCGCACCCTCTCAGCCTCACCGACCTCACAAGGTAGTTTTGAGGATAAGAAGGAAGAGAGGAGAATGATGTAAGCAGCCTTGGGGTCCCCACTGGGTTGAAAGGTGGGGTATCAATGACACAGATTAAGTCAGTTCTCACAGCTGGTGACGGAGTGGGTGGGTTCCGCATACGAAGACGCTTAGTTCAGGGCTGCGGGCTCCGAATGGCAGCAGTATTCGTGTTCTTCACCCAGCAGAATTCGTTCACCAGTATGGAATATCATGAGAATGCCGTTGCCATTTTTTATTCTACATAATTCTGTATTGGGGAGGGGGGGCCATTTGTGTGCAGTTACAAGTAGATTGCAAGTAGATAAATAGGTACCACTTCGGTGGGAAGGTAACAGCGTTCCGTGCGCCTTTGTGTTTAGTCATGCCGGCCACATGACCACGGAAACGTCTTCGGACAGCGCTGGCTCTTCGGCTTTGAAACGGAGATGAGCACCGCAACCCTAGAGTCGGATTCGACTGGCTTTCGAGCAAGGGAACCTTTACCTTTACCTTTACGGTTTTGGCAGTGGCCACAAGGCCACTGAAACAGACACACGGAAACCTTATTCAGCCACTTTTTCCTGGCTACTGGGGTTTCTACAGGCATTACGCTCGCCCACTTTCGGGCCCGCGTGCCTAAAAATAATGTTTTTTACAGCGAGGAAGCTGAACCTTTTCCCCTCCGTGCCACGCTCTGTGCTTCTTCCGTGTCATCACCGCTGTGTGTTTCAGGGGCGGGGACCCGACTTCTGCGCTCCCCTTTCCCTGGCCGGGGCCTTCCGCGGCTTGCGTTTTGCAGACGGCTGACTTCACTGCTGCTTTTCTCGGGGGGGGGGAGGGCTTGTTTCGGAGAACGGGGTTCGCCCCACAGCTGTGCTCTTGACCAAAATCCCCCACCCCCATCGCTGACGTGGCTTGTGGCGTGGAGGTTCCTGATTGCCTACTGTAGAACGACCAGGGCTGGGGGCTTCTGACCCCTTCCTTGTTGCAGTTAACCAGTCTGAGCCTTAGTCGCTGCTGCGTTTGCTGTCCGGGCTTCCTTTCGCTTGAGGACGGTGGCCCAGGGGGTCCATGCAAAGGGGGCAGGATGTGTCCCGGTCACCTCTGTGTAATCTTTGGGGGGAGGGGGAGCTTTCCAACACGCGGAGTGGCTTACTCTCCAGAGACACTGCCTTCAAAACAAAGGTGGGCTCTCATGTGATCTTCCGCCTGGTGTGGAGGTCGCAGCGTCACAACAGGATCTGGGAGAACCATGTTCGAGCGACCGCTCTGCCATGGAAGCTTGCTGGGTGACCATGGGCCCGTTGCGTACTCTTAAGCATGACCTACCGTGCAGGGTTGTTGTGAGGATAAAATGGGAGGAGACAGCTTGGGTCCTCATTGGGGGAGAAAGGCAGGGTGGAAATGAAGGAAATGAGTCAAGGGGAGCCAGGCGCAGAGAGCAGCTGCCTGTGTGGAGAACAAGACGACCGTGTTGCCCCGAGATGGCCTTTCCCTGGTGAGGGTTTTTTGTTGGTCTTAAAGGTCCCAGTTTGGTGTGGTGGTTAAGTGCGCGGACTCTAATCTGGGAGAACCGGGTTTGATTCCCCACTCCTCCAGTTGCACCTGCCGGATGACCTTGGGCAAGCCGTAGTTCTGGCAAAGCTGTTCTTGAAAAAAGAGCAGTTTCTGTCAAGAGCTCTCTCAGCCCCACCGACCTCACAGGGTGTCTTCTGTTGTGGGGACGGGGGGAGAGAAAGGAGTTTGTAAGCCGCTCTGAGACTCCTTTGGGTAGTGAAGGGCAGGCTATAAACCCAATCTCCTCTTCTTCTTCTTCTTTCTTCTTCTTTCTTCTTCTTCTTCTTCTTTCTTCTTCTTTCTTCTTCTTTCTCCTTCTTTCTTCTTCTTTCTTCTTCTTCTGCTGGCTGTGTGGGCCTTCAGGGTTCCTTCTGTGCCGGTCAGCCCAACCCGTGGCGTTAAAGGAAGCTAATTCTCCCAGAGCGTTTTGGGTTTCTTCTCAGCAGGGAAGGGGTGAAGTTCTTCTGCAGTTCTCCCATAGGGGATATCCTTGGGTGGCTCCTATGTTTTGCGGGAACAGGGAGAGCGGGAGGTAAACAGGTCTGGCACCACTCGCCAGCCCTCAGGTACAGAATCCGCTCTAGCTACTGCAGCGGCTTCCCGCCCCTTGCTGATATGGTTCAGGTGCTTCTCCGGAGCGGCAGGGCTCTGGTCTCCGTAGGCCCCTGCGACTTGCTCAGTCCCCAACGCTGCTGGGAAGACATTTCAAGAGACGTTCAGATGCTCTTGAGCTTCGGCCGAGGGAGGCGGAGGCTCCGCTATAGAAAACCGCGTCTTCTGTCCTTGCCGCTTCTCACGTTGTCTCTTATATAGGGAACCTTTCCTCCTTCGCGCAGGCTTGCTTGCTCTCTTCCCATTCCCATTCAAAGTAGTTGCAGAGGAAAGTCCTTTGCAGGGGCCTGCTCTAGGTGACGCAAAAGCGCTTGGTAGGGATACGTCCCAGATCATGCTTAAAACCCTGCGTGCCGCAGTTGTCCCTGCCCCCTTTCCCCACTTGGCTGTCTCCCCCTCCCTCCCACGGCCACCCCCCCCCTCAAAACGCAGACCGAGAACTGTCCGCACGTGCAGAACGGAGAGTAAAGTGCTTATCGTTTTCAGGTTCCAAATGCCCAAAGGCCAGCTTCGGGCAGCCACTCCCAGCCGTCCACCGGCCCCAAGCCCAGCCAGGGCAAAACCGATGTGAGTAAAACCGCCACAGCCGCCAGCTCGGGCTTTGATGTGATGGAGTTTCACCTATGATCAGTTTCATGTTCCCTCCCCCCCGGGTTGGAGTCGACACGTCATGGTTTTGCAGGATCTGGCCCTCCCGGAGGCCTCGGTTTCTTTTTTTCCTGTACAGTCACTCCTTACAAGATGGCTTAACCTCCCCGTAATCCAAAGAATAGCAATTATAGAACAAAGTTTGAGTCCAGAGGCACCTTTAAGACCAACAAAGTTTCATTCTGGGCATCAGCTTTCGTGTGCAGGCACACTTCAAGTGTGCACACACACAAAAGCTTATTGCCCAGAATTAAACTTTGTTCTAGTGTGCATGCACACAAAAGCTGATGCCCAGAATTAAACTTTGTTCTAGTGTGCATGCACACAAAAGCTGATGCCCAGAATTAAACTTTGTTCTAGTGTGCATGCACACAAAAGCTGATGCCCAGAATTAAACTTTGTTCTAGTGTGCATGCACACAAAAGCTGATGCCCAGAATTAAACTTTGTTCTAGTGTGCATGCACACAAAAGCTGATGCCCAGAATTAAACTTTGTTCTAGTGTGCATGCACACAAAAGCTGATGCCCAGAATTAAACTTTGTTCTAGTGTGCATGCACACAAAAGCTGATGCCCAGAATTAAACTTTGTTCTAGTGTGCATGCACACAAAAGCTGATGCCCAGAATTAAACTTTGTTCTAGTGTGCATGCACACAAAAGCTGATGCCCAGAATTAAACTTTGTTCTAGTGTGCATGCACACAAAAGCTGATGCCCAGAATTAAACTTTGTTCTAGTGTGCATGCACACAAAAGCTGATGCCCAGAATTAAACTTTGTTCTAGTGTGCATGCACACAAAAGCTGATGCCCAGAATTAAACTTTGTTCTAGTGTGCATGCACACAAAAGCTGATGCCCAGAATTAAACTTTGTTCTAGTGTGCATGCACACAAAAGCTGATGCCCAGAATTAAACTTTGTTCTAGTGTGCATGCACACAAAAGCTGATGCCCAGAATTAAACTTTGTTCTAGTGTGCATGCACACAAAAGCTGATGCCCAGAATTAAACTTTGTTCTAGTGTGCATGCACACAAAAGCTGATGCCCAGAATTAAACTTTGTTCTAGTGTGCATGCACACAAAAGCTGATGCCCAGAATTAAACTTTGTTCTAGTGTGCATGCACACAAAAGCTGATGCCCAGAATTAAACTTTGTTCTAGTGTGCATGCACACAAAAGCTGATGCCCAGAATTAAACTTTGTTAGTCTTAAAGGTGCCTCTGGACTCAAAACTTTCTGTGGCTTCAGACCAACACGGCTACCCACCTGAATCTAATAGCACTCAAGTTATGCAGAGGTGTTTAAATACTCTGCTGTCCATCTGCCCTTCCGGCACCGACTTCTCTGCCAAGCAGGAGTTCATGTTGCTTGCGGACACAGTGTGCACATAGCCAGGAGGTGAGACGGGCCCTCAGTCTGCACAGTACAGCTGAGACGGTTCATTTCCTGGAGGAAGCAGTAGCTGAAGCAGCCTCCTCGGCCCCGCCGAAGTACTTCCCGTGCCTTTGTGTCGTTCCCCAAGTTTCTACAGAAGCATCGACATTGGTGTCGAGCGGCACAAGGATGTATTTGCAGTTCTTGCCCAAACCGTGGGTGGATTACGCTCAATGCTCCCTCTAAGCTGTGGAGTCCTGTGACCAAAAATTCTACTTCGTGAGCTGCTGGCATTAAAGTTGTGAGCAAGCAATTTGGCTACTGCATCAATTAGTTTGCTCTGGAGCCCTCCTTCCTGGGCTAAGACAAAAATGTGTGAGCCGGAGGCTAAAAAACTATGAGCTAGCGTACACTGACTCAGCTTAGAGGAGACACTGGTTACGCTGCGTTGGAGATGTGGGGACAGCAGAGCAAGGGAATTCAGGGGCTTCGTTTGCGGCACATGGTCGCTTCTGCCATCATCCCAGCTCACGCCGTTAAATAATCAGAAGCCCCAGCTCCCCTGTCTTGATTGACGTGGGGACATCAGTCGACAGTGTTTAGGCCAGTTTGGTCTTGCCCAAGGTTTCTGAATCGCTACCGTTTGGCTCTGGGCAATGTACCACAGTGAATGAAGACACCACTATAAAAAAAACCATACGTTAATACCAGACAGGGCTCTTTTTGTAGAAAAAGCCCAGCAGGAACTCATTAGGATAATAGGCCACACCCAGCAGCAGAAACTCATTAGCATATTGGGCCACACCCCTGACAGCACATTAGGCCACACCCCCATGTTACCAGAAGTGTGCTCATCCAGCCACACCCACTTTTCCCTTCTTATTCTGTTTACCTTGTTTGTTGTCCAAACCCAGGGCCTTTTTTTTGTAGCAGGAGCTCCTTTGCATGTTAGGCCACACACCCCTAATGTAGCCAATCCTAATGAGTTCCTGCTGTTGGGTGTGGCCTGTTATGCTAATGAGTTCCTGCTGGGCGTGGCCAACTCGGGAGCCAGCGTTCCTGCATGTTCCTGCCCAAAAATAGCCCTGCCAGTAGACAAATTAGAACTCCAGATGGCAAACTAAAAACTTCCCCATCCCATTCCCGATTGCCCGGCCACCCCACGGGCAGAGAAGGAGGGGGGACAACTGATCTGGAGAGCATAAAAGTGTTCCCGCGAGAGTGGAAACAGTTGCTGTCTTCGACCCAGAGCCTGGCGGAACATCTCCCCCTTACGGGCACTCTGGGGAGGTGCTGCCAGCGAGGGCTCAGACGGGGCTCGGCAGAGCCTTCGGGGGGGGGGGCTTCAGGGACCCTCCGTGGTTCCCCCTCCCCTTGTTGCCTCCCAGAGGCCACCTTCACCTCCGTTCCCTCCCTACCCCTTCGTTTGTCTCTCCCACTCTGCCCCTCAAGTTCTTTGGAACTTGGAATGCATTATGCCCCTGCGCATAATATATTCCCGGCACGGAATGTGGTTTTTTTTTGATAGGGCTTCTACACTGCGAGGGCAGGGGGCTGTTTAGGCCCAACGCAGGAAGCCGCCTAATACCGAATCAGACCACTGGTCCATCGCAGTCAGTATCGTCTGCTCAGATCGGCAGCCGCTCTCCAGGGTCTCAGGCTGGGATTTTTGACATCACCTCCTGCCTGGTCCCTTTTAGCTGGAGACGCCGCCGGGGATTGAACCAGGGACCTTCTGCGGAATAAGCAGATCCTCTCCGATTGAGCCACGGCCCCTCTTTACAGCTCTCCAGGGTCTCAGGCGGAGGTCTTTCACGTCACCTCCTGCCTGGTCCCTTTTAGCTGGAGACGCTGCCGGGGATTGAACCGGGGACCTTCTGCGCACTGAGCAGATGCTCTCCCACCGAGCCACGGCCCCTCCCCACAGCGTGGCACAGCCTCTTCCGTCCCCCAAAGCAAGAGGGTCTCAACGACTGAGCTGGTGGGTTTAGCACGCCTGGCACTGGTCTGATCACTGTTGCAATTATTATTGTTATTTCTAATAATAATAATAATACTGTAAAGTGTTTTACAGTGCACCTTATAACATTCAGTGCTCTCGCTAGTCACGACGCTGTCCTCCCTGGCCACGCTCCCCCCTCCGGGTCTCTGCAGGATGCTAGCTTTGTGCTGCCTGTTGGGGGGGTGGGGGGCCTTCGGAGAGCCCCCGGTCCTCTCTTGCATGAGCACCTCTTTCTCGTGGGTCCCCGGAGTACCTCCGGCTCTAGCCGTCCACCCGGGAGCAGGCGATGGGGTGGCGGCGACACAGCAGTGCTGGTGTTCGGGGACTCTTACAGAGCAGCAGCGGACTCCCTCCTCCCTGAGGCAGATCTTTTCTTTCCTCCCGCCGCTCCGCAGGTGCAGATCCTGAACAAGAAGATCGATCTCTCCAAAGTGTCCTCCAAGTGCGGCTCAAAGGCAAATCTCAAGCACAAGCCAGGTGAGAAAGGGGGAGGGAGGGAGGGAGGATTGCCGGGGGAGGATAATGTCCCGTAGATGTTGTTCGTCCCCCATCCAGCGGAACCGATCCATGGTGATGCCGTGATTTGATCTTCATAGGGCTGTCCCCTTACCCCGTTGTTGCCAATACAATTGGTGGCGGTGGTAGTGGTACTGGCAGCTCCTAATCAAAGGCCCTCTGGAACTGTAAGAGCTAAGACCTCTGTGGCTCGCACGGAGGCGGTCCTGGGAGGCTCCGTGACTGTACCCGGTGGCCAGTGCGATAAACGGTGGTGCCAATTCAAAGGTGGGCAGCCCACCCTTGGAGTGTCACGAGCACTCCGTGTCTGCCATTGATAGGCTGAGTCCCGGAGCCTCCCAGTTCGCTGCCTCTGGTGCTTGAGGGGGGGGGCAACAGTGGGAGGGCTTCTGGCGTCCTGGCCCCACTGCTGGACCTCCTGATGACCCCTGGTATTTTTGGCCACTGTGTGACACAGAGTGTTGGACTGGTGGCAGTGGCTCCTACTCAAAGGCCTGGTGGAAGAGCTCCGTCTTGCAGGCCCTGCGGAACTGAGAGAGGTCCCGCAGGGCCCGGATCTCTTCCGGGAGCTCCTTCCACCAGGTAGGAGCCGCCACCAAAAATGCCCTGGTCCTGGTCACCACAAATTTAACGTCTCTCGGGCCTGGAATTTCCGGGAGATGACACACACACACACACACCCCGACCGTAGTGCCCTTGGGGGAACATATGGAGAAAGGCGGTCCCTCAGGTAGGCTGGACCCTGGCCATAAAGAGTGGGAAGGGAGTAGAGATTTGGAGGTGACAGTTTTATTTCTGGTTTTCACTGGAAATGGCTGTTAACTGTTATTGGAAGGCCGCCTTAAACTACAAGGAAAGCTGGGATAGAAATGCTTTAATAAGTTATTTATTTATTTATTTTATTAGATTTATATACCGCCCTCCCCAGCAATTAAATAATACGCTTAAGATGACGTTAAAACAACAATTTACATATAGATCATAAAATACCGTGTCACCATAAAGCGATCAGATGACCCATCCGACTCGGGCCACTGATGGACAATCGGCCAGAAAAGTTGGGCCAGAAGAACTAAGGCCAGAGAAGCCGGGGGGGGGGGACGACATCCGCTGCCTCAACCAAATGCCCGGCGGAAGAGCTCCGTCTCGCAGGACCCGCGGAACTGTAGTAGGTCCCGCAGGGCCCTGATCTCACACAGGAGCTCATTCCACTAGGCAGGGGCCAGGGCTCTGGGTCGAGGCTAGTCGGACATCCCTGGGGCCAGGAATCACTAACAGATGTTGATTTGTGGACCTGTAAACATAAACCAATAGGAACAGCTTTGCCGAAGCCGGATCCTGTACTGTAGCCCTCCTCCGTTCCCACTGAGCCATCGTGGCCCCTTCCCGTGGACGGACGCGGCAGGCTCAGGTGACGGGACTGATCTAAGGCACCCGCTGCGCACTGTCCGGGGAGGTGTGGAGAGCCCCAGTGACCCGCTCGATGCTGCGCGTGTCGCCCCGGCCATGCTGCAGAGGTGGCATCGGTCAGCAGTGGGAGTTGGCTGCCCGAACTAGAAAGGGCAGGCCAGGCCTGGGCCGCCAGGCCCCAAATGCAGTCCGCTTGCTGAGTCACCACAGCCAGTGGATGACCGTGGGTTCGTCTAGCTCAGTATGCTGTGCTCAACCCGGCAGCAGCAGAAAAGAGCCAGAGCCCAGGAGCACCTGAGAGACGGACAGAAATCTGTGGCCGGGGAGGAGATTCAGTATCTGAAAAGTGAGCAGTGACTCACGAAAGCTCCTACCTGGCCACCAAGGACCCCCCTAAGCTGTGGAGTCTTGTGAGCAAAAATTCTACTTTTGTGAGCTCCTGGCATTAAAGCTGTGAGCGAGCGGTTTGCCTACTGCATCAATTAGTTTGCTCTGGAGCCAGCTTAGAGGGAACACTGCTTGTGAGCAAAAAATTCTACTTTGTGAGCTCCTGGCATTAAAGCTGTGAGCGAGCGATTTGGCTGCTGCATCAGTTAGTTTGCTCTGGAGCCATCCCTTCCTGAGCGAAGACAGAAACGTGTGAGCTGGAGGCTAAAAAGCTGTGAGCTGGCTCACACCAACTCAGCTTAAAGGGAACACTGCTTGTGAGCAAAAATTCTACTTTGTGAGCTCCTGGCATTAAAGCTGCGAGCGAGCGAGCGAGCGATTTGGCTGCTGCATCAATTAGTGTGCTCTGGAGCCATCCCTTCCTGAGCAAACACAGAAATGTGTGAGCCGGAGGCTAAAAAGCTGTGAGCTAGCTCACACCAACTCAGCTTAGACGGAACACTGCTGCCGGCCACTAATTTTGTGAGTCTTTAAGGCGCTCCTGGACTCTGGCTCTTTTCTACTGCTACAGACAGTCTAATACGGCTGCCCAGCTTGATCGAAATGGGCAGCCGTTCTCCGAGGCCTCCTTTCTTACCGGAGATCTTGCCACTGGAGGTACCGGCAGGGGATTCTGAACGCGAGATGCGTCCGCTGCCACCAAGCCAGCCCCTGCAGTGGGGAACGCCGCCCGCCCCCGGCTCCCAGGAAATAACGTCCTGCTTCCTTTGCTCGTTCCAGGGGGTGGAGATATCAAGATTGAAAACCAGAAGCTGAACTTCAAGGAAAAGGCCCAGGCCAAAGTGGGCTCTCTGGACAACGTGGGCCACGTGCCGGCAGGGGGCGCTGTGAAGGTAGGTGTCCCCGGGCAGAACTCGGGGTTGGCTCCCTCCCTGCCCCCCCCACCCCCCGTGTGTGGCCACTCCGTCCTGTCCTGTCCCCCCCCTCCCCTCATCGCCACCGCCATCTCCATCTTCACGGTGCCCCACGAAGGAAGGAGCTGAGCAGAGCCTCGGGGCTAACTCCGTCAGGGGTCTGTAAGGAGGAGAGAGCGAGCGGGCTCCAGGTTGCAGAGGGGCCGGAGGATGGCTGGCTGGCTGGCTCTCCTTCTCCCTCACCTCCCACCGGGGGTGGATGGACCACGAAGCAGACTAGGCACGTGCTTAGGGCACCAGGGCCGAAGGGGGCGCCACAAAGTTGGGGGAAAGCTTAGTTTGTACAGTCTATTGTGTCATCGTATGAATAGATGTTTGCATTGCTGCGACCTGCATTGTCTATCTGGTCAGACAGGTCATCCACTAAAACGGCCTGGGGGTCAGTGTGGAAAGGAGGGGGGCACCAAGATGGGTCAGTGCTGAGGGCACCAGGGAGCCTTCATCCGCCCCTGCCTCCCGCTTCCTCTTCCTTTCTCTCTCCCACCGGCCTCTCTCCCTACTGAGGCAGCCCTGACAGATAACCGGGAGGGGGGGTCTAGCAAGACTAGGCAGAGTTTGCAAAGCCCAGCCCCGCCCTCCCCCACGTCAGCACCCAGCGGGTGATGCTTGGGAGTTGGGGGCAATGCTCCCTCTAAGCCGTGGAGTCCTGTGACCAAAAATTCTACTTTGTGAGCCACTGGCATAAAAGTTGTGAGCGAGCGATTTGGCCGCTGCACAAATTAGCTTGCTCTGGAGCCCTCCTTCCCGAGCGGAGACAAAAACGTGTGAGCCGGAGGCTAAAGAACCGTGAGCTGGCTCACACTGACTCAGCTGAGAGGGAACACTGGTTGGGGGGTGTTTTTCCCCCTGCGCACCGTTTTTTTGCTTCTCTGCATCAGAGGATCGGCCGGGGAAGGTGGTCTCTCCTCGTGCCCTGGGCGTCCTTGCGTTTGTCGGACTGAGTTCCCACGGGTGGTCTGACCGAGGCTGGGGATTACGTCTAGAATATCTCCTTGTAAAGCGTGCAGACATATGTATGTATATATGAAAAATGTAATCAGCAGGGTCAAATGCTTATGAAACGCAGGAAGTTCGGGGCGAGACATCATTATGTAAAATCCCAGTATTACCAAGTAAAGGACAAAAGTCCATTTGCGACAGCAGTGATTTTAGCCATGTCCCTCGTTCTGCTAAAACAGGTAACAGTTGTAGTGGTGTCGCGGTGACCTGGGAGGGCCCAGACTGGCCTGACCTCGTTAGATTTCAGAAGTGACGCAGGGTGGGAGGGCTTCTAATGTCCTGGCCCCACTGGTGGACCTCCTGAGGGCCCCTGGTATTTCTGGCCACTGTGTGACACAGAGTGTTGGACTAGATGGGCCATTGGCCTGATCCAACACTGGCTTCTCTTATGTTCTTATGGATAAACACATGCAGCAGAGGTCCATCAGTACCTCTTAGCCACAAGGTATAGATAAGGACTCTGGGGCAAGGGATGCTCTGTCTTCTTGGTGCTTGGGGGGGGGGACAGTGGGAGGGCTTCTAGTGTCCTGGCCCCACTGCTGGACCTCCTGATGGCCCCTGGTATTTCTGGCCACTGTGTGACACAGAGTGTTGAACTAGATGGGCCATTGGCCTGATCCAACACTGGCTTCTCTTATGTTCTTATGGATAAGCATATGGAGCAGAGGTCCATCAGTGGCTGTTAGTCACAAGGTACAGATAGGAACTCTCAGGCTGGGGCAAAGGATGCTCTGTATTCTTCGTGCTTGAGGGGGGGGCAACCTCCTGATGGCCCCTGGTATTTCTGGCCACTGTGTGACATGGAGTGTTGGACTGGATGGGCCACTGGCCTGATCCAGCATTGGCTTCTCTGATGTTCTTATGTCGGGTCAGCCCTGGATGGGAGACCACCACGGAAGCCCAGGGCCGGTATGCAGAGGCAGGCAGTGGCCAAGCGCCTCTGGCCGTCTCTTGCCTTGACCTGGAGGGCTCCAGCTAGCCCAATCTCGTCAGACCTTGGCCGGGGCCATTTCGTAGAAAAAAGAGGTGCAGGGGCTCATTTGCATATGCCACACCCCCTGGCTAAGGGCAGGCCTGCAAGGACGCCTGGGTTCCCTGCCGGATCTTCTCCCAGATGGGGAAGGGAAAGAAAGGCATCTAAATCCCCCAGACAAACCTCCCCAAGTTTCTCCGCAAAAGCAGAGAGGCTCAGGGGACAAAGGGGGACATGTCTGCCTGTCCTCCCCTTCCCCAGCCAACCCAACGCCTGGGCTTGTTACTCCCGGAACGCCGTTCCGGCTCGTTCCCCCTCGAAATGACCCCTGGACCTCGGAAGCTAAAAGGGTCAGCCCTGCTTGGTACTCGGATGGGAGACCCCCAATGCTCCCTCTGAGCTGTGGAGTCTTGTGAGCAAAAATTCTGCTTTATGAAGAGAAGAAGAAGAGAAGAGATTGGATTTATACCCCGCCCTTCACTACCCAAAGGTGTCTCAGAGCGGCTTACAAACTCCTTTCCCTTCCCCTCCCCACAACAGACACCCTGTGAGGTAGGTGGGGCTGTGAGAACTCTTGACAGAAACTGCTCTTTTTCAAGAACAGCTGTGCCAGAGATATGGCTTGCCCAAGGTCATCCAGCCAGGTGCGAGTGGAGGAGTGGGGAATCAAACCCGGTTCTCCCAGATTAGAGTCCGCGCACTTAACCACTACACCAAACTGCGACTAGCATTAAAGTTGTGAGCGAGCGATTTGGCTGCTGCAATAATTAGTTTGCTCTGGAGCCACATCCTTCCTGAGCGAAGTTAGAAATGTGTGAGCTGGAAGCTAAAGAACTGTGAGCTAGCTCACACTGACTCAGCTTAGAGGGAACCCTGGAGACCACCAAGCTAGTTCCGAGTCGCCGTGCAGAAGCAGGCAGCGGCAAACCTCGTCTGTCCACTTCTTGCCTTGAAAACCCCGTGGGATCACCTGAAGTCACCTGCGGCTTGGTGGTACTTTCCACTACCAACGGTGTCGGAATCCCGTGTTTTCCGATGGCCGCGTGAACTGACCGGAGAGAAGGGAAGGCGAGGCAGGAGCATTAGGCCCGGAGCCTGAGCAAGGGCGCTTCTGAAGGACGTGCAGTCCAGTTGAGCCAGGATCCAGGCTGCCCCCCATTTGGCTCTGCGCATCCCCCTCAACCCCGTGGGGTACCCTTCCCTGTGTCGGCGAGGGCCTTTCGGGCGGAGTCCCACCTCGCCTTCCTTCCTTCCAGCGTGTCTCCACCTCCCTCCATTCCACCCCCATCCTTGTATTGACGCCTCATTGTCCTCCCCCACCCCATTGTTTCATTATAGACTGAGGGGGGCGAGGAGGCAGCCCCACAGAACGGAGCTGTGCCCACGCCCCTGCCTGGCAGCGATGCCGCCCAGGAGAATGGCGTGGGGCATGCCACGCCCGCTCAGGGCGGTGGTGACCAAATGGAAATTCAGAGCTTCGACACTCACATACAAGAAACAAGTAAGTGCCAGGTCTCCCTTGCGCGCTCTCTCTCTTTCTCTCTCTCTCTCTCCCTCTCGCTCTCTCTCTCTCTCTCTCCCCATGATGCTTTTGGGGGGTGGGGGGGTAGGAAGAAGGGGGGTGGGAGGGGAGCGCAGCCTTCTGGGCACAGGTTTGTCCACGCTCTGCACCTTTCAAGTTGAAACAGGATCATCTTAGATGCTTCTGGCTGTGTTTATTTATTTATTTATTTCAAAGCCGCTCTGCTAATGTTGTTAACGAAGCCACTCCACCCTTTTATTTTCCAGGCATCTAACGCTGACATTCTGGTGTCGCCTTCCGCCCCTTCTCTCCCCTCTCTCCCGCTGCAGATTGAGTCCCACAAGCTGCTCTTCCGTGAGAAGGCCAAGGCCCGCACGGACCACGGAGCGGACCCCGCAGCCTCCGACCCCCCCGTCTTCCCCGGCGGCCCCTCCCCTCGGCGCAGCACCTCTGTCAGCGAGAGCCTGGGCTCCGTCGCCTCCGCCGCCTCCTTGCCACCACCGCCGCCGCCGCAGCCGGCTTCCCTCACCGAAGGGATGCCTGCCGCCCTCCCGCAGCAAGGCTTGTGACTCTGCCCCCAGCCC